CTCAAGAAGGAACACGCGATGGAGTTTCCTATCGTTCCAGTCCCAACTGAACTTGAACTTGACAAATGACGTACGCCAAGTCACGATGCTGTTCCTGATTTAGATCCACAATCTATCTCAGTCGCATCGATCGTCGTGTGATTTATTTGTGAATGAGTTATTTGAGCAATACCTCAACCGCTTTTCGATGTGGTCTGCAGCGGTCCGCCTCCAGGTCAACCCATCCAAGTCGGTTTGGTTGACCCTAGGTAAGGGTGGTGACGGCCGCACCTACACTCTTGACGGCCAACTGCTACATCCTACACCTTTCGCGAAGGACCTAGGCGTGCTCTCACGTTGCGATGTGAAGTCAGTTGACAACATGAACAGGTTACACCGAAACGGACTGCGCCTATCATAGGCGCTCAAACCTACCTTCTGCACCTAGTCTGAAGAGGTTGTCACTCGCCTCTTCTCCTCCATCATCAGACCAATGTTAGCATACGACTCGCCCGCCTATTGCCTGAACACTCTAGGTGAGACGCAGATGATTGAAATGGTTTAACACGTCGTTACCACACTCATCCCTAGTTTACGGGAGTTACCGTATGGAGCCAGGTGTAAGAAGCCGGGGTTGTATAGTTGGCCTATCGTCGGATGTATTGTGCATCTAGGGGACCTCCACATGCTGAAGCTATTCCCCACTTTGGAACACCATGCGATACACGCGGACACCAGTGCCAGCATATGGTTCTAGATCTGAAGCGAGTTCCACGTCCACTGTGCCTTGAACGGCGAGTGGTCGATGCTTGGAACATAAAAACAATTAATTTCCTTCAGCAACTTGAAAATAACAGCAAGAGGACGACGATTGGCAGAAACAAGCATTTCGTACTGCCTTTTCAGTGTTAATTACAATAACCGATGGGAAACAATAACAAACGGCGGAGTTGATAAGAAACAAAAGTGAGGATCAAGATGGATGAAAATGACTCGGTCTTTATGTCAACAGAAGCCTGAGATTGACGGATAACTGTTTGTAAAAGCACAGCATTGGCTGCATTCGACTAATCATGATTGCCGCAGCGAACCGAAGAAATCGCGGATTAGAATCCCGCAGTAAACTTTTGGACGCAATATCGAGGAAAGTATGGCTCTACTCTCCCCAAGTCCTGCCATTGCGTAAGCCGCAAGCATCCTTGATAGGTGAACACCTACTGACTCTTGGTCACCGGGTACCCTTCTCAAAAATGGAGACAAAAACCGATGCAACTCAGCAATAAAGCGCCTTTCTTTATGCCATATATTGGAAAGCACTGATCCTAACTGACTGACTACCTACTTGAACAGCTCCGGATGAAGTCCTTCCGAGTCGACAGCCGTGAATCACTTCAAATGTAGATTTAGAAGAGAAAATTCCGCTTCGTTTGGTGTATCAAGTGTGAAGACCCAGGGCACGCAGATAGGTTCGCGGGGCATTTACGTGGACGCTGAGGGCCAATGAACTGGAAGTGAAAGTGCTTGACCCACCGATCGAAGTGCCTCCGTAGATCAACGATCAGGGAAGCACTCACTTCGCAAATAGTCTCCTTGGTACTAGGCTTCAAGTATCCAGCTGATCGAATGAAGTGAAAGCGCTTATGAGTGTTTCCAGATATGGCAGCGGTTTCCATTTCCGCCATCACAGTGTAAGCCTTATCTTAGATACCGAGTGACGAAATCGCGCACTTCAAAATGATCAGACCCCGATGGAATATTTTTGCGGCGGTCGGATAGATCCAGAAAGTGAGCGAAGATCCAGACCTTCCTATGGTATTGAATAAGACCGCAAATTGACTGTCCGGAAGACATCTTCGGCGTCTGTACAAGCGTCTAATGCTGCTCAATGTCTTATGGTAGATCGCAACGAAATGAATCTACTATGGGAAGTTGGTAGCTCAGCTGAACCGAGGGGGTAGCTAGGTTGCTGGTATCAACCCTACGGTGCTTCATTTTTGGGGAGCCTCCGAAAATCGTGCAGATGGTCGCACAGACCATTGTGTGGGCTGAGTCGAGAAATATGGACCATACTGATGTGAAATTCTGTCATTTGAAATTTACTGCAATGTGATCAACTTGAGAGAATGATTGCGGAACGTCACATCGTAGGTCTGAAGTTGGTACTCGAGAGAAACGGCAAACTGCGTCGTGAAGCAGCTCGGGCGTGTGCAAATGGGCATCTTCAACAGCTGGATAATAACAGACAGCGGACTTGAACGTCTAAGCTGAGACAGCAGTGCGGCAACCTAATCCATTAAATGATGACACAACGATAAACAAATGTATGCGCTCTGTTGTTCTCAGTAATGAAAAACTTGGAATAATCTGTGCCTCCTTAGTTTTACCAAGGCACCAGCTAGAAACCGGCCCCCGATGTGTTCGGAGACAAATATTCGTCGGTCTTGGGCTGTTATGAAATGCCATCTAGTTTGCACCTCAAACTCGTTTGGTCAATACTTGTTAATGGAGATCAGGAGACGATACGGAATGCATACTCCAACGAGTTTCGTCCTCTTGGAGTGCAAAGAACTTAAACGTCTGCAAGATTGCAGTGCCATTGGCAACTGCTTACTGAACAGAATATTCCTCTAGTCTTTCACTATCTCTTGGATGGCAGGCTGACAATTGGGTGAGAAAGCGGAGTGCCAACGTTCGTGCGTTTGTCACCAACCGTGCTTAGGAAAGACTCTGCGAGCGTGTTACCAGGACCCAGCCGAAATGTGATAATGATCCGACAGCAGGCATGTCGCCAAGGCCTGACCGGAAGCTGATGAAATCGCGCGTCAGACACCACGTGCGTTGCCAGGTCCCGGATAGGCGGACGAAGACTGGAGTGCCCGAGTAACGCGGTGAACTGGAGAATGAAGCGGACAAGTAGGTGTGAAGCGTGGGTTTAGAGCCAAATCCGCCTGGCGACACCGACATATAAATATGAGCATTCTCTACCCTAATAGAACTCTGGTCTGCTGAGTATTCTTCTGTCTTCCTTCCGGTCGGGCTTGCCAAGGCGTCAAACAGAGCACGCGTAAGGGCGCAGATTTAGCAGCAGGTGTTAATCAACCAGTAGATTGCGGGCGCAACGTTATGACACAGGCAAGAGAGCAAAGTGCCATTAAAGAAACAGAACGGAAGTGAACATTCCAACAAATAACCCAACTACCTCTGCTCATCGGCCGACGGTGACTGTAGCAGAATTCTCCAAGCCCCTTGTTTAGCCTAAATGGTATCTGGAGGTTATACCAACAAATTATTCAGCCCAGCGATTGGGTGCATCCTATGAGGTTCTTATTGTCGACTCTCCAGTCGTCACCCGGTACAATATCCCGTCTATAATGAGAGGAAGGACTGTAAGCCACTGATACTATGTAAATTGAATAAATTCCTTTCCGTCCAGCATAACCGTCAATACCACCGGAAAAATTAATGGAAGTACACGAGTACTCTGCGCTCGTGATTCACTGTCATACAACAACACATGGAGAGATGACTTTCATAACAAAAATGGAGGAGGGGACCTAGTTTGCAGGTTAAACCATCAGTGACACAAATAAACAGGTAATTTGTGAGTATATCGCTGCAATATTAGAACAAGGTAGGAAAGATAACCCAACAATAATGGATCGTAAGAGGAATGAAGTGGAGTCCGGTACTAGAACTAAATGCGCGTGGCAAGCAAGCAAGAGTAAGGAGCCCGCGTCCTGCTAACACTACACGGTTAAGAAAAGTTAGCAATCGCGCCGAGATAATGTGGCGTCGAAGAGGTGGATTTCACTGTTTTGAGTTGAGCACTCCGAACAGCAGTTGAAGTTGGCAGCAGCATCGATGAGTTCCCATCCAGGAATCCGTTTAGTGTATGGAAGCTTCAGCACAATCTAAGACAACTTGTTAATGAGCTTCGTCAGCTTGAGCGATGAAAAGCCCATGGTCCAGATGAACTCCAACCAACTCTATTCAAACATGGAGGCCCGTCACTTCTCCATGAGTCAGCTTCGCACCTAGAAGAAATTTAAACTACGGTAGTACTCCCATCCAATTTAAGCTTAGCAAACACAGCGCCCAGCAAAAAGAATTACCAGATAGATGGTGGCTTGTATGCAATGCATACCTAGTGTTGGTCGAAAATGAATGACATTTTGCACAGTGTGATTATATGTTGCTTGAATAACAGAGTTTGATCGCTGTCTAGATCGTACTTCGACATCCGAAGGGCTACACAAAATCAACCAGGACACTTTTCGCCAAATACCGGTTATAAGGGAGTAGAGACAGGGAGAGCATCATAGTGTCACTCCATACCAACACAGAGTGAAAGCTCCAGGAATTTACAGCGGAAAATGTCACTGGCTACGTGTGACCTCATATCTATGCAAGAGATCTGGAAAAACCCATTCACATGTGTTGCTACCTCCAGAAACGTGAACATAAGATCAAAATTAAAGGCCACCAACTAAAACATGCCACACAATATGGCTGATTGGAATGTCGTCGAAGCTTTTTCCCTCCGAGTCCGTCAGCCGTAGAACGCTCTTCCGACTTATGTCATTTCTACACCTGCGCATAAAAAGAAAGGCTCGATGGTGCATTAAACCATCTGGATAGAGCGGGTGCACCTGTGTTCATCGGTTGACGACAAAACGCAAATACACGCTGCGTTCTCCAGTCCCGTATAAAATCAAAGTAGACGGATCTACATACACGTTAGTGTGAATATTATGGTTAGTCCACAGACAAGCGGTTTACCATGGTGGCAACATTTATATTTGAACAGAGATCGTTCACCCAGACCACCTTGCGAGAATAGTTGAGCTTTATCTTTTCTATTCAGATTATGTCCTTGTCCCATTGACCAATGTTCGACGACAAAACCGGTCGAGGTGATACCCCGGGTGTCCAAAAGTAACCCCCGGAAGTGATGAAGAGATGGGCAAGCCGTTGCAAGCCCTCAAAGTCCAACCAAACCTTGACCGAATAAAATGCGGCTAGAATGGTAGATAAAAAGGTCATTGTTTGTTCTATTTTTTCAATTTCAATTCACATCTCTGTGATAATCCGGGAAAACAAACAGCCTAGGCTACGACGACTCTAGAACAACACAAACCCAGGCAAGTGAGGACAGAGATGAGGAATAAATGGAGGCGGGTGAAATGAAGCAACTGGAAACACACACTAAGGTGGATAAAATGGAATAGTCTGATTGAACAATTGATAACTTTTCTACGGCGCTTCATCGTTGAGGTCACAGCTCTGGCCATGATCCCCAAAGGGCACATGGATGAGGAGAGTTGACAACGCGTAATCATTTGCGTTACAACGTGACCGCAATCCTTCAGTGCGCATATGCGGGAAAACACTACAGTGCTTCCATGAGCTTCCATAAATCGGAAGCCAAGGAGTAGAATAGTGTGCGCATGTGTGTGCATTAAGAGACCGGAAGCCAGAAGTTCAGAGCAATTCAAGCACTCGTCTGAAGCAAACACAGGCTACAGTTCAGACCGACTGCGGTCGTGCGACAGGCGGAGAGTGATGAAAATGTGGGGAGATAATGGGTCTGCATCCATAAGTGTCTTTCAGAAAACAGGCTAAGAGGCAGGAGGGTAAAGAAGAAATAAGAGTTGATGAATGTACCAAAATCTTCAAAACAGGATGACTAGAGGGATGGATGGGAGAGTAGCGAGGAAAAAGCGCAGTGAACAGAAAGAGGAAGCAGATGAAGCCTCTGTTAAGATGACTGATTCACGTCTTTCACATGAGTGTGAGGCGCGGTGTGACCACTTCGATAGATCAGGGTGGTGTTGATGAGGAAAAAATCTGGAACTGCGTTAGTTTGCCAAATAATAGTGTGCACAGAATGGAGCGTATGTGAGCCGTATTCAGGTGATCTGGCGAAAATCTACTGACGAACGGATAAGTGATTGGCGCTGCTGGGGTAGCTGTTCCAGGAGACTGCTCAACGGGTCACTACTAATGAGCGGGAGTGAATTGCATTGGAGATACAGCGTGTGCGCTCATGTGTGAAGGCCTCTGACTAGACTACACATGCGTCATTCGCCTTCCACGGTAACTGGGTAAGTGTGCAGGAAGCTAGAAAAATACAATTGTGATAAAACTGAGCATACTAAAAGAGTGGGATGCGACAGCGCGAGAGTCAGGTACGCGGCAATCGGCGGACGGAATCCGGTGAGCCTTGTGCCGATGGAGGATTGATAGTGATTTGTGGTGCTTTCAGAATACGATTCGGCTGATTGTCCGTCAGTTCGTTTGCCTCCTGCTGACTCCATTGGACGCGACGTTGATCGGCATCTCCTTCTTGCTCTTTCGGGTCGATGCAGAATAGCACCGGCTGACTCACGTCCTCCATGGCATTCTGATCGTTGGCATTGGGTTTGTTTGCTTCGATTTCACCTATACGAGCTGCACTTTCCACATCACGAGATTTGCTGCGACGTTGACGCTTTGCTGGCTTCTTTGATTTGCTCTTTCTGCATACAAAGGGGGAAATGGCAGGCAGTTGTGTGAAATTTCGCACACGAGCGGTTGTTTGGATGTGCGACATCTGCTACCGTGAAGGGATTTAGAATAGAACGTACTGAGAGCTAGAGTGGTACTCGTTTGAGGGCATCAAACCCCCTTGAGTAGGACTCCAGGTGATGAACATTTGTGGGAAATAAGCGTGAGATACCGGACAGTTTAATTTCCAATCCCTGGTCACTAGAGGTTACGGTTCTCCGGCGTTAATCGATAACACAGAATTGTGACCAAGTAGGAAGGCAATTGAGAGTAATAAACATGTTCATTAGTGTAAGATAGCCACAGGGTTCTTGACCTACATATCTCAGTGCCCGCAAACACAAAGTGGTTTTTCCAACCATCTTCAGGTTAGGAAGATAACTAAAAGGGCCGATCCAGCTTCTGGAAAATATCCGATTACTTCTTTGCACTTTCATGCTCGGTTATCAGAGGGGTCCGCCTAAATAGGTGATCTGCTAGTCATCAAGAGATAATGTAACAGTCGATCGTTGAACATGTAAGAGAGTGAGCTGAAGGGCGCAAGCTATGGAAAATGATCAGGTGATCCAACGGAACGTTAAACGGGTTCATTATCAACCTCAACATCCAGGTAATTTTATCAGAGAAGAAATAAACCTGGCGAGTGGGTGTAGTCAGTTATGGTTAATCCTTCCAAGTCAATGGAAAGTTGGCTCGCCGAACTACTACCTCGTGGTACCAGCTGGGTGGTTTGGGCTTATCCCGTTCTAATAAGTAGTTCGGTGGCGGTGCTGCAGAATGTGGTGATTTATCGTCTGGTAACGGTTCTCGGTACAAAAGCCACAAAAGTTTGTTTAACAATACTGAGAAGTGGCGGATGTGACTCACTACTAACTAGTCACTGCCCCTTGCTACACCGTTGGAGGAGTATTGTAGTCCAGCGGGTGGATGATGAAATTTTGAGGATCAAACGAACGTTTGACAACTCCTTAACGCAAAGGTGTATGAACTGAAAAAGCGATCACCGGCTCCTAATCGGTACAATTCCCTACGTTGTGGGTAGGCCACTCAACCAAAGGCTCCGGGTTGTGTCCCCTAAGTTAACTCCCCAGTTCCGCTTGGACAGCAAAATAGTGTCACACCATCTGAAAAAACTAGGGGCTTGTCGGTGTTGTGTTCGGTCTTCTTCGTATGACAACTGTACCCTCCTTTCATTTCCATGTTTTGAATGGTTTCATGTCTATTCATTAGACTGCTGAAAAGTATATCTTATATTTGAAAGGAAACTGCGGTATTTACGATTCACACGGGGACAACGTAGTATGGCATACAGTTTCTTTGACCGATAAGAACTGGTTTCACTAAGTTCAGAGACAATGTGATCTGGAAGGATAGGCCGGTTACACACTTATCAAATGATCTGTTTACCCATATGACTACTGTGGTCTGGTTTCATGTGCTAGGAAAATATGATGGTCATTAAACTCAATTATGAACCATGAAGTTGATCGTAAAGTCATCAAGCGCGTACTGGAATGGGAGCAGCATTGTGATGTTCGTCGGCCAGCCCAACCACTGAATAAAATGCCGGGTCAGGGAACAGAGGGAAAATCTAGGTGATAAATCAAAAATACATAATTTCCGCAACGAGTAGGAGGTATATGAATGAGATACAACAGTTTTACGGATGGGAGCAAGTATTTGATACTTGCTGCCCCCAAGCGGAAACCGCAGGCCAATGAATACCAATTAGATCGGTAGCCGTTGTCATGGTTTAAAGTGTAGATCTGTTCAAAGTATAGAGAAATAAAGGAAGCCACGGAGAGTAGATCTCAGCGCGCTGAATTGCCTCATCATATTCCTTTTTTCCCGTGTGAGGTCATGAGGATTAAAGCAGCAACCCGGAACAGAAATATTTGATCAGGTAAATCTAGAGAACAGGACTCAGAAAGCATTCTTTTTGTGTTTCAGGTGACGCGAGAGGATGCCAACCATAGATACACACAGCGAATTGACAAAGAGAGTTTATGACAGGAAAGCTATTAGGATAAAGCACTTGTATCGATAGGACCTGATGTCACATCCAGATTCTAGTGCGGACCGATATGCTGGTGGGTGCGATACTGTCTGGACAGGAAGTAAGCAAAATAACGTCGAGAGGCTATCAGTTTCGATGCAGGTCGGACGATGCAGAAAATGTGTGGAATCCAAACTGCTACCTGTGAAACGGACTGAAGATGTGATCAACAAGTGCGAGGGAAAAAAGGGCATTGGTGGGGCAGAAAAATTCAACCCAGTTTAAACACGGCCTAGCCAGTAACTGGACAGTGAAATTTGTGATTTTCCCCAGAGACTATTAAAACAAAAGCTGAAAACTTTTGGTACGGTGAAATCATACTGTCCGTTTCACAAGCATTGAATGAAGAGCAAAATGGCATACGACCTTAGAAGCACTACGGTTCTGCTAACGCAAAACGTAGGACCCTCGCGCCAAATGGCTTCAGTCTCGATAGCAATGTGAATGTCTCATGGAAATAAAGAACCCAGAAGGCATGTAGTATCCGACATAACTCACTGCTGTGTCTTTCCGCTATCCTTGATATTCGCACCGCTCAACTGACGCCAAATTGTTGTTTTTGAAACTTCCTCGGTTATGTTTATGCGCTGAGGCAAACAAATGAGAAGAGGTGGTATAAACAAATGAGGTAGATTCAGCCGAGAGCGATCGATAACCGGGGATACGATAAAAAAACAAGTACCATTAAGCAGCAAGACGCTATGGACGCAAACGATGGTCTTATGATAAACATTTAACTGGAAAAAGTGACATATTGCACAGATGGATTCGAATACTGAGGAAAAGGAGGACTCGGTGACCATAAGATCAGAGATAAATACATATTCGGTTGCAGAGTTACGGTGTGCAGTCCACCGTTGTGGCAGGGATCGCATTAAAAGACTTCGCATAAAAGTGCGGCGCTCCAACAGACAGAAGTTGGTCAGAGTGCGTGTGGGAGAAAAGTAGCTGAAACCATTATGTAGCGAATCATGATGTCACAGATCTATGAAGTAGGAAAGTGAAGGCATAAATAGTATCCAAGAGGTCTAGAATTTCAAGAAGCAACAATGGATCGGAGTATGGGCAAAAGGGAGTGAGGAGTTGCAGTAACACCAAATAGCCGTTATGAGTTCATGATCTCTAGTCAGTAAATGTTGTGGCCTCGCAATGCAGAAACTGAAACGGCAGCGGGCCCCGGGGAAAATAAAGCACGAGGGAAATAAGGTGATGGGGTTTATGCGTCTGATCCCCATGAGGTGATACACAGGTGAAACCTGATGTGGAATATTCCCATCGCTCAAAGTGATAGTAGTTATGTGCCAGAAAGGTGACAGCGCGCGGTCGGATTTCCCTGAGGAAACAACAGATTCATGAGCCAAATTGAGACAACGGTCATTATAATCGATCGGATTGGCTGGCAGACGAAACACGACGCACCATTAAGTGAACTGCTGCATCCAATGAGAAGTAATCGGCAGCTATGTTAAAGATCAACCGAAAATTCGCCTAATCAGTGGAGACACAAGAAAAGTGCAGCTCAAAGGACAGTAAGCAAAGGCACGGTTCCACTCCACTCTCATCTTGCAGAGCATTCAGTACGCCGCGGAAATGATGGAATGTACGGGCATCAGCAGTGTGCCGGTACCCAGTACCAACGTTGCACTGCCGCGCAACCACCGCCAGTCGCACATGAGCTAAAGATACCGCGACGATTGCCTGGCCGCTGCACAAGCTCGAACCCGCGCCGTCGGATTATATGGCAGGCTTGTGATCCTTAAGGCTACGGGCCGGCAACAACAAGATGCAAGTGGCATATCCAGGCATGTGGACCCGGAATTTGCAAAACTCTGCATGATGAGGGCTGGGTGGTAGAGAAGTGACACAAGCAGTCGGAAACTGAAAAACTAGGCGCCCAAATAGTCAAATAGATGAGTCGTAGTCTAACTAACGTAAGACGAAGTCTTCCCCTATACAACAAGCGAGTAGTCAGCACTCACGTATGTGAACTCACGTATGAGATCAAAGAAGCTAACACGGGAGAAAACTAATCAGAAGATAAGTTGTCTACCAAGCGAAATTCCTGTTGGAAATAAACAACAACTGAATGCAGCAGGAAGAGGTAAATTATCAAGAAATCGTTGCAAGATATACATGTTCAGGTTAGACAGCAATGACCGTTGGGTTGCAAACCGTGTTCGCGGGATTCACAACTGTAATGAGGCCAAAAAGAGCAAAACACAGCCAGTGCCGTCCGGTGCGGTAGGTGAGAATATGGGCAAAATCAATATCAAAGAAGCGGACACAGAACAAATCAATCCTTAGTAAGGAATGGTCCTTGAATATCACAGATTGGATCAGTTGACATTGGCCCTCAGCCTGGATCAGACCTATGAAACGATCCAGTGACAACTTCTTAGAGAATGAAGAGAAGCAGGCGAACGCATCAACAGTGCCCTTAAGAAAGACAGACCACATAAGCTGAAAAATTGGTGTTGTTAATGCAGAGAATACCCCCAATTAGGAGTGCTGTGAGTAGTTCAGGGAGATAAGGTGAGTGAGGAATGGTGTCAGACTGAGTGGAAACTCGCTAAAATGGAGTTTACGAACCCGGGTAGAACAAAATCTAAGACGCCCGTTAATATGCCCAAAACTGTAAATACATGGACGCTAAAACCGGTAGCATGACCAATTTGCGATACTCAAACTGAAGACTGTCAAATATACTGAGGCCCTCAAGTAAAAAGTGCAAGAGTGACCGATCGTCAGTCTAAACAGGAAAATTGCATTCAGTATTTCACTTAGAAAAAACTACGAGTGAATGCTTCGAGATCTTCTGTAATAGCGTCAGAGGCGTGCAGAATCTAGTTGCCAAAACCGATATTTGTAGGATGTTTGAGAAATCGGTACGATACAACGATCCTGCACATGTGCTTCGGAAGCATGTCAAGGGTTACCAGTTGACCGATCTAAAGAATAATGGGCTGCAAAGATGGATCCGGTTCAACTGCGGTGCGACAAGTGTACATATTACTACGATAAGAGCTAGCAATACGGGAGAAACGGGTAAATCGGATTACAATGGGAAAGTCGTAAACATGCAAAAAACCCAATGCAAAGAAAAGCCCAGAGAACACAGATAAATGTGTTAGGACGTGAAAACGGCATTCAAGAAAGGTTGGGAGGAAGAGCGCATCAGAAATACGTTCGCAGATGAGTGGGTCAATCAATCAAACAACAACAGGGGTACATCAGCCATTTGAACTGATGTTTCGCTGCCATACAACTATGATGACCTATGAAATAAAGAATATCCGTTATGCCCTAAACAAACATTCAGGATTAAGGTGCCTACACCTTGTGTTAACAACATACCGTCACAAACAACTGGCTTTCGTGCAAAAGATAAGGCGGAATCAGCGGGCTAGCTTCCTTGCGGCTTTCACCGCTACGCGTCAGCCATTACCCCGCAGATAACTCAGCACCCAACAAACTTTAAACAGGCAATTCGACTAGGAGATGGCAGCACAAGAGCCACTGGCATCGGTTGTGAGCTAAGGCCTGTAAAGTCTCGAGCCAAGCACAAGGCGAGTCACGTGGACTCCAGCCCGGAAGGCGAAACGGAGCAACGGCACCCAGTTTGGTCGTCAGTGACTTCATTTCCCGCTGCCAAGTCAACTTCTGTCCAACTCGAGCCTTGCGCCACCCTACACCTGGCAAACCAAACAAGGCCCTCCTAGGTAAGTGGTGAACAAGCATACGTAACAAGTGCCCAAGCCCACGCAAGTTATTACGTGCTATCACTTGTTACAGGGAACTACCTTGGTTATCGCTGCCTAGTAGACTCCTACTAACATCATTGCGGACATGCTGGTGCCACCGGACACCAGCAATGCTTCGCAGACAACAGTGATCGAAGACTTGAAGGCGCCTCAGATCTTCAGACCGAAGGGGCCAAGTCTCATAACCATAGAGCAGGACGGCCCTCATTGTGGCCTTGTATACATGGCCATTCAGACGAATGGAAGCTCCTTTCTGTCGCCAAAGATGCCGCAGGTTCAAGAAGGCAGCTATGGCTTTTGTAATGCTTGAACTGACTTCAGTTTCCATGCGCCCATTGTTGCTAACACATCTGCCAAGGTAAGCGAATAGATCAACCACCTCGAGATCCTCGTTAACAAGGGTGAAGGGGTCATCAAGTTACTGTTGGTCCTGCAGTAACAGTTTGCACTTCGAAGGTGGAAAGTGCATACCAAGTAATGGGACTACTCAAGACCGGCTATTCAGGGTTGATGGTGTCGCCGCAACATCATCGAAAAGCGAGACGATATGGTCCGCATAATCAAGATCAACTAGCCCTTCACCAGATAGGACTTCAACGCTTACATAGTGAGATTCCCCAATGAAACACTCCATGATAGACTTCATGACGAAATTGAACAAAAATGGGGAAATTGCACAATCATGACGAACATCACTTGTTGTCGGAAAACTGTCCGACAGGTCACCGCAGACTCTGACGCGGCCTGTAGTGCTCGAGTAGAGAGCACGTAGGATGTTCATATATTTTATTGGAACACCTTTCCGCACAAACATATCGATCAGAATGCATCGTTTGATCGAGTGGAACGCCCTCTTGAAGTCGGGAAACACAGTTATTTTCGGCCTGCGGTATGGGTCGCGCTGCTCTAGCACCTACCCCAAAGTGAATATATGATTTACACAGCCACGTTCTGGGCGGAAACCCGCTTGCTGTTCTCTAATTCTTGGTTCCCGTTCCGAAGTGAAGAGACAAAGAAGAATCGAGGCCGGTAACTTTGTCACAACTGGCATTGGGCTAATACCCCTGGGGTTAGCACCGTCGGTGCAACTGCCCTTCTTGTATATTACCACTATAATCGATGCGCTCCAGTTAGCCGAGACACTCTCTTACTCCCAGATATGTTCGAATAGGGAGGTCAGTGCTTTGCAGAGGACCTCACTTCCGTCCTTAAATAATGCAGGTGGGAGGAATCCGTGCCATCAGCACAAAAATAATTGAGGGCTGTGATCTCGTTTCAGATCTCAGCCTCCGAAGGAGCCTATAAACTAACCGTCCATGCTCGTCCAACATCACCTGAGTAGGAAGAGGTACGGGAGCAAGTGGCCAACCGAAATGATATTGAAAGTATTCCGCCCAACGAGCCATATGGCGCTCTTTATCGTGTATCAAAGTACCCGCGCTGTGTCTAATTGTCTCACTGACGCCTCGTTTCCTTGGAGCAGTGGTGCGGATCAGCTGGAAGAGCTTGCGAAAATTGCCAACTGCTCCTGCCTCCTCAATTTCTTGACCCCAACTGGTTTACCAGGACTTCCTTGTCAGCACGAAGGCTCCGATTTAGTTCGCACCTAATGGTCTGTCTGGTCACATATGTGCCCAGAGCCAGCTGGAAGATGCCTTCTGGATTCAAACAAGTTCACCGACCTCTTGGATATCCAGTGACTGGTGCAGTGACGATTGATAGTACCACAAGCAGATGCTACTGCGTTGGGCATGGCGGCCGAGATCCTATTCCACGGAAGCTTAGTGTCAATAGAGCAAGACAGCGAAAGTTCGGTATTAAGTGCG